ATGGATGAAAGCTCCGGAGAACACCTCTGCAAGACTACAACAGGAATGTTGTCAGGACCACAAGCTGTTGAAGAGTCTAAGCAGGAAATTACTTTTGATACAGAAGCTGAAGTGATGCGAATGTCAAGCAAGGGATCAACCTGTTTGACAGCTATGTCAGGTAAAACGCAACTAGTGGAATCGAGAGATGATATTGATGAAAAGTTCTTAGCAAACAATTCAGCTTTGTCTTTAGGTGAGGTGACAAAGTCTGAACCATACAAGAGAGAAGGAATAACAGATTTGCCCTTATTATTGATACTGTTAAAGATTCTCCAGAAGTCTCGAGAGCCTAATTTTTGTGATGAGATACGAGATTTAATGACCTGAGAATAGCGAGCTTTGGCGTCAGACAAAACCTTTTTACAATGGTTTCTGGCGATAGTGAACAGATGTCTGTTTTCTGGAGAATTGTTTTGCTGATAGATATGGAAGTAACGGTTTCGATTAGAAATTGCTGCAGCGCAATGTGAGGAAAACCAAGGAGAAGAGTGAGGCTTGACCTGGAATCGTCGAGAAGGAATAAAAGATTCCATGCCAGCCTGAATCCACGAAGTTATGTAAGAAGCACATTTGTCAGCAGGAAGACGAAAGATTTCTACCCAAGGGCCATCACGAAGAAAATCACGGAAAGAGTCCCAGTCAGCTTTAAGGTAGTTGTATGTGGTACGATGATAGGGGGATTCTGATGAAGTAGAAGAGTTTGATAATAGTTTTAGAGAGATCAAACCGTGATCAGAAGTACCTAAGGGTGAATGTGGAGAAATTGAGCACTGACTAGAATCCAAAACAAGACATAAGTCGAGTAGAGAAGGTAAATGATTAGGGTTGTCTGGAAAACGAGTTGGAAAGTTGACTATTTGAGTTAGAGATTGAGAAAGGCAAAAGTTGAGGGCCTTAACGCCAGCAGAGTCACTGACACTAGAGCCAAGCCAATCGGTGTGATGGGCATTAAAGTCACCAACAACGACGATATTGGCCAATGGCCAATATCGTCATTGGCCAATATCGTCGATATTGGCCAATGGCCAATCTTGGGATGAAGGAGAGCGATATAGAACAAAGAGAAAGGCGATAGAGTGAAGTTGTGCTAAACGAAAGCACATAAATAAATAGTCTGTAGATTCAAACCTAGTTTCACGACAAATGGGTGAGTTCTTATGAATGTAGATGCCCAGGCCAAGCATGTGATTATTGGAGTCTTTACGAATTAAAGGAAGATAACCATCAACACTAAGATCACAAGATGGGACAGCCGAACTCAAATTATTCTCACAAAGAGCAAGTAGGTCTGGTGAACTTTGCAAGAGATAAGACTCAACAGAAGAAAAGTTACTTCGAATACCACGAATATTAGTAAATGATAGGTTTAGAGAACTTGGTGATGACGATGGTTTTTTGTGTTTTTTAGTTTTAGGTACTTTAGTCATTTTGAATTTATAAAGAACTTGACTCAAGTATAGATAGTACTCAGTACACTATTTAACAACTTAGCAATAGCCTTATTACTATTAATAAACCCTAAGCCGTAACAAAGGGCTCCAAATGTGGCCTCTGCAATGCACACCAAAAGTACAAACAGGGACACCATCCATGTGCAACATGACACTGTTAGTACTCTGATATTTTTCGGCTGTTGATGGAATCAGCCTCTCTGAGAGCTACCACAGAGTTCGGGAAACCTGACTACCAGCCGGCCTCAGAACCATAAAACTGAGTTTTAGAGCTGTACCCTCATTAGGAGATAATAGAATGAGTTGCCCAGTCGTAAAAATAGAGACACAAGCAATACCCACGCATTGAGTCAAGAAGATCCAGCGTTCAACATCCTAAACTGGAAACAATGTATTAAAAATACATCTGCGCCAGCCTAATAGATGAGGAAGGGGTGCGAGGCTGGTCAACAGATAGAATCTGTTTATATATATATATATATATATATATATATATATATATATATATATATATATATATATATATATATATGTATATATATATATATATATATATATATATATATATATATATATATATATATATATATATATATGTATATATACATATATATATATATATATATATATATATATATATATATATATATATATATATATATATATATATATATATATATATATATATATATATATATATATATATATATATATATATATATATATATATATATATATATATATATATATATATATATATATATATATATATATATATACAGAAGCAATTCTACAAATAAAATGAGGGGGGGGGGGTGTAAAATACAAAGCAGACGCATTTGTATATAATATTTTTTAATAAGCATTTGCCATTCATAGGGCAGTATGAAATAGAAATAGAAATATAATTTGCTTCAACCCTCCGTACAGCAAAAATGTTTCAACAAATATTGGAAAAGCGTTTTAAAATTAGTTGACAAACATTTCCCTCTCTCTTTGCACAAAATTTTTAACACAAACACTATTAAAGTAAGCTATAGCTATGAATGGCAAATGCTTATCAAAAAATATTATTTACAAATACATTGTTTTCTCACAAAACAACCCATTATATTGGCTTAACCGAGGGGTTAAACAATATATTGGCTTTACCGAGGGCAAATGTAAAAAACGTTATGCCAACCACAAACATTCTTTTAAACATAAAAAATACTCAAAAGAGACTATGTTGTCAAAATTTATATGGCAATTAAAAGATATTAAATTTAAATTAAACTGGTTAAAGCGCACTAAAACTGGAGCAGGTTTTTGCCAACAATTTTTTTTTAATCTTTTTACAAAGACTGGTGAACATGGTTTTCCGATTGTGTTAAATATCTTTTCCACAACATTAAAATCATTAGCATGTTTTTCCTCTATGCTGAGGTACAGGCTTTCACTTTCAGTTTTAAAGGTAAAAAACAAAATAAGAAGTTGTCCATACGCTTATTATCTCAACATATACCCCCCTCCTTCTCCAATGCATTTTGCTATACGCTTTTTTGAGTACACCTCACCTCCCTAAAAGTACCTACGCTTTTAACTAACTACCTACCTAACATTTTTTGATATTTTCTTTCAATTTAGTTTTTCCTTACTTTTATAATTCTTCCAGCCTTCCATCTCATATACAACATTTGCAAATCCCCTCTTTCCATCAGAGCGTACGTACCTTATGGACGATCCCTAATCATAATTCTCGTTTCAGCCGGAATATTCTGGCAAACCGGTTCCGGCCGGAGTTCCGATGTGGTACGCCCCTTAATTAAAGTACCAAAGTGCACAAGTAAGTTTGCGAAAAACAAAATTTTATTTTCTTAAGTATTACAACGACAAAAGATTTATCTCTAACTATTGCGATTTTGCTTTATTTACAAAAAGTTTATATTTTTCAGACAATATTTTTTATCCTCCTTTAGAATCTGATTTTAAAAAAATGTTTGGAATTGAACTTTTTGAATAGTATTAATTTCAGTAAAATGACTTTTGTGGGGCATACCGGGACAACAAGTTATTTATATAATTGAACATATTACTACCATTTCGTGGTAGTAATACCATTTCGTGATTCAGCATTTCATTTTGCTGTTTACAAATTGATGATTTTACTTTTAATCTAAAATAATTTTTTTTTTTATTTAGAAAATTTTAGTTATAAATTCAAAGAAATTCTTATTTTTATAGCTTAACTTCAACTGTTAATAGTGTTTGATGTAAACAAAGAAGGTAAAATGATATAATAAAGATCAATCATCCAAAATGGAAGAAATGCAGTTTAAGCTGCGATTAAAAAGGAACTTAGAAGTAGAAAAGCTGCTGATACATATGGCATATTTAAGTTCGCACTACATTGGCATATCTTATTGCTAATGAGCCAGCTTATCAAAAATGTTACCAAATAGTTTCAGGATATTTTTTGTGTGATTTATGTGATCGATAAAAATTTTTTTGTTTAATTTTAAATTTAGTAGTAACAAATAGGCAGTTACCAATTTAATAATATATAGGTTAGAGTAGAGCGGAGGTGTTTTATAAATGTCTGAACATATTTTGACGATAAATAGCCTTCATTTTTCATCATTTTTAAAGGTTTAGAATTGACGAATAACTGCTGCTTTTTAACTGTCCCATTTTGACCCACCCTTTTGCAAAATGTAAAAGTTTTGGTAGTCTAGAGTTTTGTTACTTTGGTTGTCGTAACATTTTTAGAAATTTTTTATTATTTTTTCATTTTCTTATCAATAAATTTTAGGAAATTTATAAAAAACAGTGTTAACTATAATTAGTTTATCCGCAATTAGTTTAAGAAAAAAATCCCCCTGGAAATTTTTTTTTTTTAATACTTTTTTAAAATTGATAGATTGCCTGCCCAAACCAAAAACTCTCAGTCAATGTAGCGGTACTCCTTGCATAATTTACCTATTTGTCAGTCAGCGTATGCACACTCTTTGCATGTTCTACCTATTTGTCAGTCGATTTATGAAAAATGAAGGATTAAACTTTGCTTGTAACATAACGACTATTATATTGATGTATCGTTTATTTTATGCGCAGTGAAAAGAAAATCCTGGGGGATTTTTTCTCAGGTGATTTTTTTCTGCTACCCTCGAAAAAAAACACAAAACAAAAAAATAAAGGAGGAAAATACAAAGAATTAACAATATTTTAATGACTTCTATATAGCGAGTTTCATTTATTATAGAAACGATAGTGTAGAATCGGTGCGTTAAATTATTTACGACATTTTTACTTTTAAAACAAGTTCAGTTGCTAAATATTTAAAAAACGACATTTTTGTAAATTTTCCAAATTTTTTATAAATATCTTTAACTAGAGGCGAAACAAAAACGAAAAAATGCTTTGAGATTTTATAGAAGGGAGGTATCAGACATCAAAACTAAATTTTAGGCAGCAGGAAATATAAATTACCCAATTAAAATTAAGGACTGGGAACAAATAAGAAATTACTTAACTAACATTTTATTTATAAACATAAAAGAATAAGAAAATTTACACATCTTCTATTTACGCATTTTTATTACGTACTTTTTAATAAAATTTTCTTATTATTTGTATATAAAACGTAAAAAACAAAATAAAACGATGTCAGAACATCGTAATAATACGAAGTATAATTTCTTTATGAACTTTAAATTATCTTCAATGAAAACGTTTTAGCAGCATATCATGATCTTATAGATAATTTTTAAAAATAAAGCTTTTAAACGCTTCATTTTATTCGCCAACCGTGAAAAAGTATAAAACTTTCACAAATAAAATTATTGTCACGCCGTTTGACAGATAAAAAAACCAAACAAAAACTTTTTCTTGCATACTTTTGTTGCTGAGTAAATATTTGTAAATAAGGATGCACAGCATTTATTAATAGATTTCACCACATTTTGATGCTAAGCGTTTGACAAGTTAAGTCCAACCTGGGTTGTTCCAGAAAAGCAAATTGGTTTCTGTATTATTTTCGTTTAATTGCTTATACAACTCACAACGAGGCAATTTATCATTTTCTAATAATATAGAAGATTCATGTAGATTAGATATGTTTGCATCACGTGCATTTATTATTTTATGAGAAGACAAATAATTATTGTCAAGTCCATTGATTTCTTCATTTTTCAATTCTGGAGAAACTAATGAAGGAATTTCATTAACTGTCATGTTATATTGTGGTTGTGCATGGAAAAGGTAAGAACACCCAGACGAAGGTGGCGTAGAATAGTTATTCTCCTGTTGTAGCTTACGCGCCATATTAGCTAAAATACCACTCGCTCGTATTTCTAAACAAATACATTATCATCACAACTATAATTATCAAATCTACATTTATTATATATTAATTACAAAAATTAAATAATCAAATTATAAAAAATATCAACTAAAATTATCAAGTTAACAAATACAATCACATATATAACAAATACAATATATTATATATAACATATGATCACAAAATACATCACAAACCAACATCATTATTAAGACAAAAAAGTTTTTAGTTTTATGAGAAAAATTGTAAATGTCGCAATTAAAAAAACGCAATTAAAATTTTTACTTTTTATTTTAAAAATACAAACAAAAACTATTATATTTTTATATAATCTGAAGGTAAATTTTTTTTTTTTTTTTTTAATTTATTTAGGTGCCCCAAGAAGACCTAACGGTCTTGTCACAGAGCACCGCGGAAGTGCAATTAACCAGGAAGTTTACGCCTCCTTCCTTACCGTGACGCGAAAATATGTCCAAAGCTCGTTTCGAACCTTGATCTCCTGCTTATAAAGCAAACGCTCTAACCACTGCGCCACGGCCTCACTTCTAATTAAGACAAATTCTAAACCACATCATATAATGAGGCATTAGCAAAAACTTAACCAACATAAAATAGTGAAAAAATCAGGAGTCATTTAATTTTGTATACGCGCTATTGCTTGTTGAAGATCATGTATAATTCACCACGAACTGTTTTTAACACGGCGATCTATACTGCAGGCCTTGCCAACGCGCAAAAAACGCATTTCACTGGGGGCCTATTTTAAACTGTACTTAACTATAATCGCCATTTTAGTGATATTGAAATATGGGTAAAAAGTGTTGTACTTATGGCTGTACCACAAATTATTTATCGGCTAAAAAGAAATCTGATAATTTAAAGATCTCAGTATATCGATTTCCTAAATGAAGATGAAAAACAAATGTGGATTAAAGTAATTCCAAATGCAAATCTAAAGGTAACTAATGACGCTGTAGTTTGTGAGTTGCATTGGGCAATAAATTTTGAAAAACAACAAGTTAGAGGAAAATTTCGTCCTAATTTCCACCATCTGTTTGGCCAGGCATACCGTCTTGTCGAATTCCCACTCAACCTCCTCCATTACGTTCAACAAATAGTGCCTCTTCATGTATTCGAAATTTTGCTCAAGATGAATTATCAGCCTTTTTAGAAAAAGATAGAGTAACTTTTGCTGAAATGAAATAAATTCTTTTATGTAATGAAAGAGATTTGGGTGTTCCATAAGTATGTTTTATGATTAATAGCATTATTAATTTGCAATCACAAGCTTATTCAAATGGGGTTCCATATTTTTTAATCAAGATTAGAGACGATTTACATTTTGAAACTTATCACTATGGAGTCAAAATTAAAATTCCTACCATTTCTAAAAACAGAGTTTCAAAAATTAATGCATGGTCAATATTAGAAGAAGTCCTACGTTATTTAAAGAGTTTGATTCCTGGAAGAAAAGAAATTGTAATTCAAGAACATTTAGCTTCTATGGGTACACAGTGTGTTGCAAATAAGATTTATTCTAAAGAAATTATTATTAGATCTTTTCAGTATTTTGCTACATCCAGAAGTTTGTATAATCAATTGCGAACAGATTACCAATTGCCTTCTGTAAGAACTTTGACAAGAATAACTTCAAAAGTTTCTAAATTAAACGAAAAACTTTTTTTCACTAATATTTTTCAATCTATTGAAGAAAAACAGAAAATTTGTTTGTTATTGCATGACGAGGTTTATGTTAAAAAAATGTTGTTATATCATGGTGGTACATTGTTCGGAAAAGCAATGGATGATTCAACTTCTCTTGCAAAAACTGCATTGGGTTTAATGGTTAATTGTTTATTCGGTGGACCATCGTTCATTTCCAAAATGATACCTATAAGTAAATTAAACTCTCAATTTCTTTTCGAACAAATTAGCATTACTATCCAATCAATAAAGGAATCATCGGGTCAAGTCAGAGCCATAATATGTGATGGAAATAGAATTAATCAGGCTTTTTTTAAAATCTTTTTTCTTCAACTCTGAGTTTCGCTACTACACAACTATTGGATCTTTAGGAATATATATATATATATATATATATATATATATATATATATATATATATATATATATATATATATATATATATATATATATGGTTTTTGTTTTTGAATTAGAGTTTTTTGAATTTGAGAAAAATTTATAAGATAAGAAATATTTTGTTTGAATTTTAGTTTGTTTGTTATAAAATGAAACAGTTTGAGAGTAAAAAGTTCATTGAGTTAATATAAAATTACTGAACACTTTTTTGTTTTGTTTTTGCCGTTAAAATAAAATAGACCCCCAATCAACTAAGCTGTTTGCGCGATGGCAAGGCCTTCAGTATAGATCGCCATGGTTTTTAAGCTTAAAATTGTTCAAGAATGTACTTATTAACAATTTTAGGTGCATAAAATCACTTAATGGAAAAATGACAAATTTTTAATAGATACTCGGTTTTTACAATGTGTTTATGAGCTTAAATAACTTAAAACTTTTTAAAATTGCAGAACTAATTTTTAAATCGTTTTCAAAAATCTTCTTTCATAGTTTTTTCTGAAATTTACATAATATACATGTTTTATTTTAATAAATTTACTTTATAAAATAAAAATAAATTTAAAATGATTAAGTGAAATGATAAAAAGTGAAAACAGGAATAACAAAACAAAAAAACAAAAAAATAAAAACTAGCATAAAAAATGGTGTTTTAAAATTATTTGATTTTTAACCATTTGTTTAAACAAAACACGATATTTTAAAATTTTAGCATATCATGTTATCAATAAAATTGTATTGTTACTATATTTTATTATAATGTCTGCCAATGGTGCTGTAGGACTCATTTAGACAAGAAGTATGGTTTAAGAAGTATGGTCCGAAGTAATTACCAATATAATAAACATAAAACTAGAGACCACAATAGTAAACTGAGTAGGCAATTTACAGGAAATATAAAATGACATATAAAACATTTTTTCACAAATAAAGTGTAAAACGACTGGAACATCTTAAACAGGAAACAATAGTTGCAGTATCAGTCAATTCAAAAAACTAACTTTTTTTTTAGCATCTTCACTTACAACAAGGCTGCATGCAACCATTATTAATGTTGGAAGTTACTGGGAGAGAAAAGATGAAGTTTATAGAGCAAGATAACGATTAATAAATTATATGAATCAGGAAAGCAAGATGAAGGAAGCGAATTCTAAAGAACTTAAATCAAGCGAATTCCAAAGAACTTAAGTTCAAAAAAATAGATGAATAAGAGTTTTTAAAGCAATTAAGAACAGTTACAGTAAAAGGATGAGACTTAATTGAATGACAAGTAACACGAGAATAAATTTTAGTAGATGACACAAGAGATGCTACCTTTTTAGAGCAGTACCCATTATAGTATTTGTAGAAAAGAGAAAGAAAAGCAACACTGCGAAAATGTGATAATGGTTGGAGGTTAGCTGCAAGAGCAGGTCCAACTATGTTTAAAATGCGTTTTTGCACCTTGTCTAAAAGAGAAAGGGCATCATTGGAAGATCTGCCCCAGATATGGCAACAATATTCCATACAAAAACGGATTTAAGATTTATAGAGATAAAGAACAGAATCAGGAATAAAAAAGTGTTGAGCATGATAAAAACATGCAATCTTAGCAGATGCTAATTTTGCAATGGATTTGATATATGATTTCCAAGAAAGATCGGAAGTATGAATTAATCCTAGAAAATAAAGGGTAGATGACTTATTGAGTACATAACCGTACATAAATAAAGAAAGATTGAAAATTATTGCAACAACGATTAGCAATTAAAATTGAATTTTATCTGAGATAAAGTTCACCAGCCACTGTGAGCCCCATGCTGTAGTAGAAGTGAGATCCTTTTCAACCTTAAATACCTCCTTCATGCAATCAGAGAGTGTTGGCTTCTTATCAAGACAAGAAAAATGGTACTATCATTTTATTCAGCGAACAATGCCACCTTAAATATCGAATGTCAAGCAGTGGACCAACATGTTTGTCAGCTATATCAGGTAGAACGCAGCTAGTGGAATCAAAAGATGATATTGACAAAAAATTCTTAGCAAACAATTCAGCTTTGTCTTTGGGTGGGTTGACAAAATCTGAACCATACAAGAGTGATGGAATAACAGATTTGCCCTTATTATTGATACTGTTAAAAATTCTCTAGAAATCTAGGTAGCCTAACTTTTGAGATGAAATACAAGATTTCATGGCCTAAGATTAGCGGGCTTTAGCATTAGACAAAACTTTTTTTACAATGGTTTCTAGCAATAGTAAACAGACATCTGTTTTCTATTGCTAGAAAGTCATTATATCTTTATTATATCAAATTTAAATAACAAATGTGCAAATTTTTTTTAATTATTTAATAAATTAAATACTAAAATATTAAAACCTCAAATAACTTCAAACTTATATACTTACTCTGTGTGGTGTTGATAATTTCATCACAAGTGGGAACAACTGATTGCGATACAGTGCATTTTATGGTAGATGGCTCAGAAATTCCTGAAAACCGTCGTTTCATTTTTAAAACTTGTGACTAAAAATAAATGTTTGACAACTTTTCTTGTTAAAAAATCAAATATTGATGTGCATGATTAAGGAAGCTTACAATTATTTTATTTGATAGATATTATTATATACCAACTCAGCTTTTAACATTATTTAAAGTTGTAAAATGTTTTCTTAATAAACAATACCTCGCATAAATTGTTATCTTTTTGAAAACCTAAAATGTAAACAACAATGCAAAAATTTATATATAACTTTATTAATTGCAGCATAAAATAATAATTATCATATAATTGCAATTAATAACAAAATGCACTCATAGTTAATAAAAAAAGGCACACATAATAACAAAATGCACACATAATTAATAACAAATAAAGTATGCTTACATAAAATATAACACAAATACTTAATAACAATAAAACTTATATAGTATAACTTACTTAGATGTACTTAATTAACAGAATAAATAATGCTAAGAAAAATATTGCAATAAAAAACTTTAGATTTCAGATCAATGCCAATAAGTTGTTTTGAAAAAATTTACTGGACACATTCTATCAATCAAGTTCAAATAAAAATAACAGAAAGCCTGACTACAGCAACTGGCCTAACTGACTACAGTAAATTTAGTTTGTATAAAAAGGTATTAATGCAGATTACTTCATGTAAAAAAATAGCAAAAAAAGAAAGTATTAAAAATATTACCATGATGTGATGAATGTATATTGAATCCAGGTTTTTCTTGAATAATTGATGTGTTTGGAAACTTATTTGTTGGATCTTTTGCAGATAAATATTTTAATGGATTCTCAGGTGTCCGGTTGACGGGCGCTTGAATGTCCCTATACAAAATGATATTCCTATAATATGCACACAAAATGTATCAAGGTTTAAAGGTTTTGTTTTGTTTTTAAAAATTTAAATAGTTTTTTCAAAACTATTTAAAGTTTATTCTTAACTGATTGTATTAACTGACTGATTTAACTGATTGTATTAACTGAATGATTTAACTGATTGTATTAACTGACTGAATTAACTGATTGAATTAACTGACTGATTTAACTGATTGTATTGACTGACTGATTTAACTGATTGTATTAACTGACTGATTTAACTGATTGCATTAACTGACTTATTTAACTGATTGAATAAACTGACTGATTTAACTGATTGTATTTACTGACTGATTTAACTGATTGTATTAACTGACTGATTTAACTGATTGTGTTAACTGACTGATTTAACTGATTGTATTAGCTGATTGTATTAACTGAATGATTTAACTGATTGTATTAACTGACTGATTTAACTGATTGTATTAACTGACTGATTTAACTGATTGTATTAACTGACTGATTTAACTGATTGAATTAACTGATTGAATTAACTGACTGATTTAACTGATTGAATTAACTGATTGAATTAACTGACTGATTTAACTGATTGAATTAACTTACTGATTTAACTGATTGTATTAACTGACTGATTTAACTGATTGTTTTAACTGACTGATTTAACTGATTGAATTAACTGACTGATTTAACTGATTGAATTAACTGATTGAATTAACTGACTGATTTAACTGATTGTATTAACTGACTGATTTAACTGATTGTATTAACTGACTGATTTTACTGATTGAATTAACTGATTGATTTAACTGATTGAATTAACTGATTGAATTAACTGACTGATTTAACTGATTGTATTAACTGACTGATTTAACTGATTGAATTAACTGATTGAATTAACTGACTGATTTAACTGATTGAATTAACTGATTGAATTAACTGACTGATTTAACTGATTGAATTAACTTACTGATTTAACTGATTGTATTACCTGACTGATTTAACTGATTGTATTGACTGACTGATTTAACTGATTGTTTTAACTGACTGATTTAACTGATTGAATTAACTGACTGATTTAACTGATTGAATTAACTGACTGATTTAACTGATTGTATTGACTGACTGATTTAACTGATTGAATTAACTGATTGAATTAACTGACTGATTTAACTGACTGATTTAACTGATTGAATTAACTGACTGATTTAACTGATTGAATTAACTGACTGATTTAACTGATTGAATTAACTGACTGATTTAACTGATTGTATTAACTGACTGACTTAACTGATTGAATTAACTGATTGAATTAACTGACTGATTTAACTGACTGATTTAACTGATTGAATTAACTGACTGATTTAACTGACTGATTTAACTGATTGTATTAACTGACTGATTTAAATGATTGAATTAACTGACTGATTTAACTGATTGTATTAACTGACTGATTTAACTGATTGTATTAACTGACTGATTTAACTGATTGAATTAACTGACTGATTTAACTGATTGAATTAACTGATTGAATTAACTGACTGATTTAACTGATTGTATTAACTGACTGATTTAACTGATTGAATTAACTGACTGATTTAACTGATTGAATTAAATTACTGATTTAACTGATTGTATTAACTGACTGATTTAACTGATTGTATTAACTGACTGATTTAACTGATTGTATTAACTGACTGATTTAACTGATTGAATTAACTGACTGATTTAACTGATTGAATTAACTGATTGAATTAACTGAATGATTTAACTGATTGTATTAACTGACTGATTTAACTGATTGAATTAACTGATTGAATTAACTGACTGATTTAACTGATTGAATTAACTGATTGAATTAACTGACTGATTTAACTGATTGAAATAACTTACTGATTTAACTGATTGTATTAACTGACTGATTTAACTGATTGTTTTAACTGACTGATTTAACTGATTGAATTAACTGACTGATTTAACTGATTGAATTAACTGATTGAATTAACTGACTGATTTAACTGATTGTATTAACTGACTGATTTAACTGATTGAATTAACTGATTGAATTAACTGACTGATTTAACTGATTGAATTAACTGATTGAATTAACTGACTGATTTAACTGATTGAATTAACTGACTGATTTAACTGATTGTATTAACTGACTGATTTAACTGATTGTATTAACTGACTGATTTAAATGATCGAATTAACTGACTGATTTAACTGATTGAATCAACTGAGTGAATTAACTGACTGATTTAACTGATTGAATTAACTGAATGATTTAACTGATTGTATTAACTGACTGATTTAACTGATTGAATTAACTGATTGAATTAACTGATTGTATTAACTGACTGATTTAACTGATTGAATTAACTGACTGATTTAACTGATTGTATTAACTGACTGATTTAACTGATTGAATTAACTGACTGATTTAACTGATTGTATTAGTTGATTGTATTAACTGAATGATTTAACTGATTGTATTAACTGACTGATTTAACTGATTGTATTAACTGACTGATTTAACTGATTGTATTAACTGACTGATTTAACTGATTGTATTAACTGACTGATTTAACTGATTGAATTAACTGATTGAATAAACTGACTGATTTAACTGATTGAATTAACTGATTGAATTAACTGACTGATTTAACTGATTGAATTAACTTACTGATTTAACTGATTGTATTAACTGACTGATTTAACTGATTGTTTTAACTGACTGATTTAACGGATTGAATTAACTGACTGATTTAACTGATTGAATTAACTGATTGAATTAACTGACTGATTTAACTGATTGTATTAACTGACTGATTTAACTGATTGTATTAACTGACTGATTTTACTGATTGAATTAACTGACTGATTTAACTGATTGAATTAACTGATTGAATTAACTGACTGATTTAACTGATTGTATTAACTGACTGATTTAACTGATTGAATTAACTGATTGAATTAACTGACTGATTTAACTGATTGAATTAACTGATTGAATTAACTGACTGATTTAACTGATTGAATTAACTTACTGATTTAACTGATTGTATTACCTGACTGATTTAACTGATTGTATTGACTGACTGATTTAACTGATTGAATTAACTGATTGAATTAACTGACTGATTTAACTGACTGATTTAACTGATTGAATTAACTGACTGATTTAACTGACTGATTTAACTGATTGTATTAACTGACTGATTTAAATGATTGAATTAACTGACTGATTTAACTGATTGTATTAACTGACTGATTTAACTGATTGTATTAACTGACTGATTTAACTGATTGAATTAACTGACTGATTTAACTGATTGAATTAACTGATTGAATTAACTGAATGATTTAACTGATTGTATTAACTGACTGATTTAACTGATTGAATTAACTGATTGAATTAACTGACTGATTTAACTGATTGAATTAACTGATTGAATTAACTGACTGATTTAACTGATTGAAATAACTTACTGATTTAACTGATTGTATTAACTGACTGATTTAACTGATTGTTTTAACTGACTGATTTAACTGATTGAATTAACTGACTGATTTAACTGATTGAATTAACTGATTGAATTAACTGACTGATTTAACTGATTGTATTAACTGACTGATTTAACTGATTGAATTAACTGATTGAATTAACTGACTGATTTAACTGATTGAATTAACTGATTGAATTAACTGACTGATTTAACTGATTGAATTAACTGACTGATTTAACTGATTGTATTAACTGACTGATTTAACTGATTGTATTAACTGACTGATTTAAATGATCGAATTAACTGACTGATTTAACTGATTGAATTAACTGACTGATTTAACTGATTGAATTAACTGACTGATTTAACTGATTGTATTAACTGACTGACTTAACTGATTGAATTAACTGATTGAATTAACTGACTGATTTAACTGACTGATTTAACTGATTGAATTAACTGACTGATTTAACTGACTGATTTAACTGATTGTATTAACTGACTGATTTAAATGATTGAATTAACTGACTGATTTAACTGATTGTATTAACTGACTGATTTAACTGATTGTATTAACTGACTGATTTAACTGATTGAATTAACTGACTGATTTAACTGATTGAATTAACTGATTGAATTAACTGACTGATTTAACTGATTGTATTAACTGACTGATTTAACTGATTGAATTAACTGACTGATTTAACTGATTGAATTAAATTACTGATTTAACTGATTGTATTAACTGACTGATTTAACTGATTGTATTAACTGACTGATTTAACTGATTGTATTAACTGACTGATTTAACTGATTGAATTAACTGACTGATTTAACTGATTGAATTAACTGATTGAATTAACTGAATGATTTAACTGATTGTATTAACTGACTGATTTAACTGATTGAATTAACTGATTGAATTAACTGACTGATTTAACTGATTGAATTAACTGATTGAATTAACTGACTGATTTAACTGATTGAAATAACTTACTGATTTAACTGATTGTATTAACTGACTGATTTAACTGATTGTTTTAACTGACTGATTTAACTGATTGAATTAACTGACTGATTTAACTGATTGAATTAACTGATTGAATTAACTGACTGATTTAACTGATTGTATTAACTGACTGATTTAACTGATTGAATTAACTGATTGAATTAACTGACTGATTTAACTGATTGAATTAACTGATTGAATTAACTGACTGATTTAACTGATTGAATTAACTGACTGATTTAACTGATTGTATTAACTGACTGATTTAACTGATTGTATTAACTGACTGATTTAAATGATCGAATTAACTGACTGATTTAACTGATTGAATCAACTGATTGAATTAACTGACTGATTTAACTGATTGTATTAACTGACTGATTTAACTGATTGAATTAACTGACTGATTTAACTGATTGAATTAACTGATTGAATTAACTGATTGTATTAACTGACTGATTTAACTGATTGAA